CTTGCTATTTGTCCATACCTTTAATAAACCTGCGATAATAACCTGTCAAACCCAAAAATCCCTCAACTCCTTGATAGTAACAGGTGTAGGCCATTGTTGTATGTATGCAATTTTCTGAGGATCTGCACTAACCCCTTCTGCTAAAATTAAATGCCCCAAATACTCAATCTAGTCAACAACAAATGAGCACTTGCTCTTCTTCACCTTGAGTTGGTGTGTTGAGTAATTTATCAAACACCCTTTTCAAATGTTGTAGGTGCTCATCCCAGGACTTGCTATTTATTAGATGTCATCAAAGAAGACCAGTAAAAACTTTCTCAAAAAAGGTCTGACTATGTCATTCATTAAACTCTGGAATGTCGATGGTGCATTGGTTAGGCCAAATGGCATAACCATAAACTCATAGTATCCATCATGAGTTCGAAATGCATTTTTAGCAATATCATCAGAATGCATTCTGATTTGATGATACCCTAACCTCAGATCCAACTTAGTAAAAAATGACAGCTCCAAAAAATTCATCAAAGAGCTCTTCAACCAATGGTATAGGGAATTTGTCCTTTACCGTAGCCTTGTTAAGCTCTCTGTAATCCACACACATTCACCAAATACCATCCTTTGTTTTGACCAAGACAACAGGGAATGAAAAAGGGTTATTACTGGGTCTAATAATGCCATTATTCAATATTTCAGTCACCAAACTTTCAATTTCACCTTTTTGAATTGCAAGGTATCTGTAGGGTCTAACATTTATGGGTTGTACACCCTCCTTAAGATAAATCCTATGATCATGCATTCTAGCAGGAGGTAATTCCATTGGCTTGTCAAACACCTCACTGTATTTCAACAAAAGTAACTCAAGTTGGTGTTTGTAAGTATTTACCTTCACATCAGGGTCCATGGTGGCACAGGTGCTATCAATACATAGGGCGCAATTTGCTGTTAATTCTCTGCAGTCACTCTCTGCAGCCACTAAACATAGTTGAGCTGATTCAATTTGTTTAGGTTTGTTCAAGAGTTTCTGCATCTGCTTCTTTGAAACTACCTGAACTGATGGTTGCTTGGATCCCCTTAATACCACCTTCTTGCCTTTTTGCACAAACTCCATCCTCAATTCTGCAAAATTCCACTTAACATATCCTAGAGTAGATAACCACTGCATTCCCAATACTACTTCACAACCACCTACAGGTAGAACCAACACATCTCCTTAGAATTCTTGCCCCTGCATTTTCCATTGGAACCCTGGGCATAGGGTGGTTGTAGTGAGGGAATTCCATAAGCCACTACTACCCTAACAGGAGCAACTTGCACTGTTCTCAGGCCAAATTTCCTTACCACATTGGGGTATAGGAAATTCTGAGAACTCCCACAATCTATAAGAATACTGAAAACCCTTCTGTCGATTTGATCATGTATTCTCATAGTTCTGAAATTGGGAACCATTAAGCTATACATGGCATTTGTAGAGATTTGGGCTAAGTTGCTTTCTATCAACACTGCCTGCTCATCATCCTTAAGGAATTCTGATTCCTGTTCTTCAAGCCCTTCTTCAATACACTCATTCATGTATAGTTGCCTTCTCTTACACTGATGGCCAGGGCTATACCTTTCATTACACCAATAACATGGCCTCTTGGCCCTCTTTTCATCCATCTCTGCAGTACTCAAGAATTTAGAATTTCGTCTCTGCCCCTTCAAATCATTCACTCCTCTTTCCCCAGGTTTGGGCAAGAGAGGGACATTGTTAGAGCTATTATGCCTTGGATAATTGACACAGGAGCCAGCATTTGAGGGATAAGAACTAAGCACTCGCGATGGTCCAGGTACTTACTTTGCTTCCAAGCATTCAGAATCTTAGCCTCCTCAATTTTTGCTAGACCAACAGCATGCTGTAGATCACGCGGGCATGAACATCCTCACAGCTAGCTGAATTCTTCCTTCAGCCCCCTTATGAAGCAGCTTACTGCATATTGCTCAGGGAGGTCCACTCTGTTCAACAGTTCTTCAAATGAGTCTTGGTACTCCTTCACAGTTCTGCTCAGTTTCAAGCTTTTCAAATCCCCCATAGGAAGGTAGTCCCCAAATCTTGACCCCAAGGCTCTCACATACTCTTCCCATGAGGTGGATCTCTAGAATCCTAGCCTTCATGAAAACTTGATGCCATTAGAGAGCCTTGCCCTCCAAATGCATAGCAGCAATCCTGACTTTGGCTTCTGATGGTGTCTCATCTATATCAAAAAACTAATCACATTTGTATAACCAGTTCTTGAAGTCTAAGCCTCCAAATTTGGGAAACTCTATGCGAGAAAATCTGGTTGGAGCCTGATAGCTGCCCTCACGACTTCCTTGATGATCATTCTCAGAAGCGTTGGTGACTCTTGCTGTCCTTGACTCCTCTGGCTACAAACTTCCAACACCAAATTCTTGATTGCTTCCAATTCCCACTCGAATTGTTCCCTCTGTTCCGTCAGCAGATTTCTGACAGTTTCTTCGAACTTCCTATTCTCTTGGCCTCTAGTGCCTTCTGCCATTTCTTACTGGATTTTTCAACTGATTTGGGATGAACCAGGCTCTGATACCATTGATATAGAAGACAGAAAGAGACCAAACTCCTTACCAGAAGGGATGAAGATGGAGAACACCCCTTGATGATGAAGGAGGAAATGTTATTGATAACAAGATAGGGAGAACAGATTTATGATGAAAATGAAATTGTTCAGACCCAGATGATCTTCCTCTTTCCACCACTGGCCTTTATGCATGCAAAGTCGGTGATAGGAGAGTTAGTTACAACTAACTCTACCGCCTTTCCATATCTATGCTATGCACGTGACTAATATATAACCGACTTCCTACTTGTGCACTACATTCATTATTTCTGTTGGTGCTTGCCAAATGCAAACAAGAAAAGCAAATACAAAAATACAAAGTCTGATTATTACAAAAATATAAAGGCTGATTATGTGTGCATGTATCAGTAACCCAAGTTGTAATTTTTTAGTGGTTAAATGGTTGGCTAGACATTTTATTGATTTTTTGAAAAGGAAAGTGGTCCTAGTTTGTGAATTTCTTGCTTTATTGTATTACAAAATGATGACAAATAAAAACATTTGAAAAAGTTAGTGGTCCCGATTGTGAATAAAGATTTATTTGCTATCCCTTTTAATATGTACCAAAGTTGCCTATTTTGTGATCAATTTCATTATGATGAGGTATTGGCGGGGATGGTGATAAAAAAAATATATGTTGGTGGTGTGGTAGAGCCCATATACCAATGTGAAGCTCAGAATATAAACATATCTATGGTCAAAAAAATTGCCACTATGCATAGATGTGTAGAATCAATGACATTGCATTATGCTATACCAAAAGATAGAGATTGTAGTCAATGGCGGAGCCAAGACCCCAGAGTAATTGGGTTAAACTTTAATATAATAAAAATTTTATAAAATAAAAACTATAATATAAAATGAACAAAAAAATGCAAAACTATAATATCACATACATATTATAATCGTCCTCTACCAGTACTCACCTTCTGAAAATGTTGCAAAATCAACTCATTGTCAATTTTGTTAAATACATCTTTTCAATATAAGTAACCAAACAATCATTCATCCATCAATCCCTTATACGATTACACAATCAATTTTTAACAATTTTCATTGCTAAAAAGTTCCTCTTCATCAATCCTCATACTTTTCAATATTATAAAGTAAGTGCTAATTTTATAAGCAAATAAACTAATGAATATACAATATCCCTTTTAGTCTTAACTAATTGAACTTCAAGACTAGCAATTCCTTTCAATTTTGCAAATTCATTGCTAGAGCATATATCAAGGATATAAATATCACGCTGATTGTCAAGAGTCATTAGATCAGCTGAAAAAATTCAGATGGATAGAGTTCTGCAAAATGAATCAACTTTTTCTTATCAAAAGAAGAGAAACCATCATCTAGAACAAGCCTTTCCATACAAATTAGCAATTCAACATTTGCCTCTGTAAAACGATCATTCAACTCTGGAAGTAGAATGTCAATCACACTACAAAATAAATCTACTTAATAGTGGTGTAAGTGGGTGACACTTGGACCTTTGCACCTTGACCTTCCTTTGAGAACATATGTGTACGCGATAAAAATTTTTTCAAGTCTGTAAAACGACAAGAAAAAGAAATACACGACAAATATATGATATATAAATTTAGAAAAATATGTCGGTACAATCTCTGGCGTTTTCTCGAACTTGTGGAGAGTTTCCCTCGATTCTTCTCCTCAAACACCAATCCAAGGGCTTCGCAGCTTGTTCTTGGATCCACCACCGATTCTTTCAAATCTTGATATGGAAGATTTGAAGAACTGGAAAATATTTGAAGGCTCAAGCCTTGATATGCGGAAGACTTGAGGAGCTTAGAGACCCAGACCTTAGTAGTTTGGAACTTCACCACTTGAGTGTATGAGATGCCTCCTGGTGTGTGCCTCTGTATCTGTGTGTCTTTGATTTGGTTGAGAGACCTCTATTTATAGCTGTAGCAAGGGGTAGAGGTTGAAGACCTGTGTACCACTTTACTTGCAAGACGTGCAGTCATATTAGGACTGTGCCAGTTAAATATTATCTCTTCATTTTATAGTTATCAATAAAGAGATAGATAATTTCCCGATTGGCCAAGCCTGTGGGGACAAGTGACGTGGCGCCGTCTGATTGGACAGACCATTGCACACACAACATTTGAACAAGGTGAACATCAGAATAGAAGACCATGCTTCACCAGATTGTTTCACAAATTACAAAGAATGACTTGATGGATACGCATTATGCAAGAAAATTCTACGGGATTAATTTACTATTTATTATTATGAGGAGTAGACACATCAGATAAATTAAGAGCATTAAAGCAAAGAAAACGCAACACTCCATTCACATAACCCATAACATGTGATTTACTAGAAAAGATATAAAAGAATCCATCACTTAAAGTTCATGAGAAATCATCACAAGATGCAAAAGCTTTATAACAATAACAGGCAGGTAAAAAACTTACAGTCACTTGACTCTTCATCATCCTCATCACACCACTTGTTCCAATCAACCTTAAGATGTGGAGCAGGCTTTTCTTCAGACTTCAACAGTCTCTTCCACCAAACTTTCTTCTCTTTCTGAATTGAACATATTATGTTTCTTAAGCCAATCTTCGTTTTACATCCCTGCAATAGAAGTGATGTCAAATCTCACAGGTAAAATGAGAAGACAGTTTCAAGATATGAAAATACCAGAGAGTCCAGAATTTCGTGAAGAGACACGACTAGCGGAACATAGTAAGCTACTCATTAAGTGTGTTGCACATAGTCATCTCTATACGCCAAATTTAGATAAGATTTTTATAAGAGTATTGCCCGAAAGGGTAAAAAATTTGAAGTCTCAACTATTGTATCATTGGCCAATGACTTACAAAACAGCTTTGGATTAGACGCATTACATGGTGTTACACTGAGGTTCTTCAAGATATTAACCTCGAATATAAACTGCGGACTTCACAATCACTATAAAATGTATCTGACATGAAAAACAAATTCTAACGATACAAGGTAAAAGTCCAAAAATATTACATAGCGGGTCAAATAACTCATATCACAAAGAAAGATGTAAAACAGCACTTTTAATCATCATACAAACGAGCTATGTGCCAACAAAAATCAGTAAAAGCAAGGAATCACCCATTAGAAAGAAAGAAAGGAAAGGAAAAGGGGTAACCCGCTAAATCTTAAACTGAATCCATAAAGTTAAATCTACCCCAAAAAAATGCAGCCCCATGGAAGTTACATTGTACCATATTGCAACTAGCAACCACCACTTGACACTCCCATAAAAGTTGTAAAGGAAAAGTAATTCAACAGGCGATGCTTGATTTGCAGCATACGTGCAAAAACAATTGTCTAGTAATTCAATCACTTCAAATTCTTAAAAAAAAAATTGAGAGAGAGAGAGAGAGAGAGAGAGAGTCTGATACTAAACCTCAGGGACAATGTTTGCATAGAGTTGGAGAGTGAAACTGAAGGACTGGCCATCAACTCCAACGGCAGAGAAACTGAAAAGGCCATCAATCTCACACTTTACAGAAACGTCTCTGGCATCTGGCAAAGCAATCGTCAAGTAAACTTTATCAGAACGCTGTGCCCAAAGAACCTCTGGCTGTCTGCTTCTGCAAATGCAAAATTTTCAAGGGCTTAAGAAAACGATATTAACATGGACGAGGGGAAAAAAAGAAAAGAAAATGAAGAAGGGAAAGGAAAGCCGCAACGCACCCCATTCTCTGAAGAAGAAATTGTAGCTTCTGATTATGGAAATTTTCCAGGATGTGCAGATTGAAGAAGTACTATTAGCACCGGGTTTTATTGGGTGCATCTTCGGTATCAGGTCGGTCCGGACATCTTTACATACGTATAACAATGTTTTTGAAAATCGGACCGGACCGGCCGGGTTCGCACGTTTGAACCGCGAACCGGCCATGCACCGGTCCGATTCTATGTTAGGGTTGAACATGTTCGAAAACCGATCAAAAACCGGTCCAACCGTCGAAACCGGATTGAACCGGTTTTTTCCGGTTTTCGTCTTTTTTTTTTTGTTTTGTAAAATGTACCTTTCAAGATTCGAACTCATGACCTTTGTAATAGAAGACCAATATAATAACCATTGAACTATCACATCTTATTAATTTTTTTTATAACTTATTTATATAAAACAAACACTCATATTTCTTTTTTTCATTTTTCTTACAAAATCTCATTTTCTCATGGATCTTTCTTTTTAATTTTCAACTCTCTCTCTCTCTCTATCCTCTTTTCTTTTGTCACTCCCTTTTTAATCAAACATCTTTATTTTTAATTTATTGATATTTTCTTACATCTTTTAATTTAATTTTTGTCCATTAAATTAAAAAGTTAAAAAAGAATTATTTTTTTAACCCAAATTATTTAATGCCACAACCACTTACTTTTATCTCATTTTTTGTTTCTTATCAAGTTTGCATTTCTAATTTCGATTCTCTTGACTTCTTTCGAACTCCAAACTTTCTTTTTTAAATTGCAATCTCTAAATCCCAAAACGTAAATTAAAATTTAAGTTCACAATGTCTAAATTCTCATAGACGTGAATTTTGTATAATTTCAAAATATTGTGATATTTTTGGGTTGGATTTAAGATTTTTTGGTAGATATAATTGAAATTGAGATGAAATTTATTTGTTTTAACTTATAATTCAAAAATAAATAATTTATTTTTAAAAATCCAAGTTGTTCAAAAATAGTAAACTTTTCATCATGTAAAGTATTAAATTAGTCCATTACATGTCTTATTTTGTGCATATATATATTTATATAAATTATTTTTAAAAAAATTCATTGAACCAAGGTTGAATCGGTCCGACCGGTTGAACCTTGACCCTTTCATTTCACCGGTTCAATTAACGGTCCGATTTTTAAAACATTGACGTATAACGCTGAGCAAATTCCCTGAATAGTCCTTCAACTTTTTCTATAAACCACTTTTAGTCCTCCATCTTAAGTTTGGGACATAATGATCCTCTAACAAAAATTTTTAATCCAAATCGATTCCTATGCACCAAAGCAGCCATTATCATACAAATTTCACGACCACCGGACAATAAAAGGAAGGGGATATTGGTCTGTTCACTGGAGCTAACCTTTGACTGGATGAAAAAAATCAACATAAACAACAGAAAAATGCTAAAAAGTGGCAAAAGAAGATCAAAACCTTTGACTTGAGAGACTCGTTAGAGAAAATGTCCGAATCCTAGAACAAGAACAGGCCAACAAAGTTCCTCCTTGAAGACCAAATCTAGCAGTACAGGGAACAAGAATACTCAACTTTGGTGATAATCGACTCCACGAGCAGGAGGATTGGCCACGCGAAGGATTTGTTAGAGAATATCGAGAAAAAATGGAAGATTGTGGAGCAATGAATCATGATGAATTGTCACAATACAGTAAGCAAATCTTGACATGGGTTGTTTATTTAAGAAGTCATATGTATATATATGTGCTCTAACTGTTTCTTTGTGTAGTGTAACTAATACAGAAGACAGAAAGAGACCAAACTCCTTACCAGAAGGGATGAAGATGGAGAACACCCCTTGATGATGAAGGAGGAAATGTTATTGCTAACAAGATAGGGAAAAGAGATTTATGATGAAAATGAAATTGTTCAGACCCAGATGATCTTCCTCTTTCCACCACTGGCCTTTTATGCATGCAGAGTCGGTGATAGGAGAGTTAGTTATAACTAACTCCACCGCCTTTCCATATCTGTGCTATGCACGTGACTAATATGTAACCGACTTCCTACTTGTGCACTACATTCATTATTTCTGTTGGTGCTTACCTGAATGCAAATAAGAAAAGCAAATACAAAAATACAAAGTCTGATTATTACAAAAATATAAAGGCTGATTATTTGTGCATGTATCAGATGCTCCCCCCTGAAAAAGTCCTTGTCCTCAAGGACTAAAAGTAGGGAACTTCTGCTTGAATTCATGCAAGAATTCCCACTAGCATCTTCTGGAAATGAGTTACTCCATTGGACTAAAACCTGAGTGATTGCCTGATTTCCCCGCTTAGCTATTTGCCTATCCAAAATGGCTACTGGTTTGAGCAATAGGTGGCCTTGATCAGTGGTAGCGGATGGTAAATGAGGTGTGGCAGGAAGAGAGCCCACTTTCTTTTTTAATAATGAGACATGAAAAGTTGGATGAATTCGTGCATGGTCAGGAAGTTGCAACTTGTAAGTTACTTTCCCCACTCGTTCTATGACTGGAAAAGGTCCAAAATACCTTGGAGCAATGTTGTTTGTAAGGGTGCAATTTGACGTAAACCAGATTCCCAACTGCAAATTCTCTATCAGTTCTATGCCCATTAGCAATTTGCTTCATGTGATGTTGAGCTTTCTGAAGATTATGCATAAGGATATGTAGTACATTTTCCCTTGCAGCCAAGCTCCTATCCACGACCTCAACCACAGAAGAACTAGGAAAATAGGGAACGTGAACAGGAGGTGGTTGCCCATAGACCACCTAAAATGGAATGATTTTTGTGGCTGAATGAAAGTTCGTGTTGTACTAGAATTCAGCCAAGGGTAGCCAGGAATACCATGTTCACGGCTGCTCGCTAGTCATGCATCGCAGATATCCTTCCAAACATCTATTCACCACTTCTATTTGACCATCTGACTAAGGATGATAGGAACTAGAAAATTGCAGTTGGACCTTCAATAGCTTGAACAGCTCTTTCCAGAATTGGCTGAGGAATATGGAGTCCCTATCACTTACAATGGTCTGAGGAAGGCCATGTAATTGAAAAACATGATCCATGAAAGACTGAGCAATCTCCAGTGCTGTATAGGGGTGAGATAAAGGGCAAAAATGTGCATATTTGCTCAACCGATCCACAACTACCATATTGACTTGTTTTCAGGGAAGCCCTTCAAAGAAATCCATAGAGATATCTATCCATCCTGTTCAGGTATAGGCAAAGGCTGCAAGAGACCTGGATAAGTTGCCAAATCAGATTTATGTCTTTGACAAACATCGCAAGCAGCAATAAAATTATAAACATCTTTGTGCATGTGTTTCCAATAGAAAGTGCCTTTCAGTTTGTGATAAGTCACCAGAACTCCAGAGTGTCCTCCAAAAGAACTAGTGTGCCAGAACATTATTAACTTGTCCTTGAGCACCATGTCGACTCCCACTACCAGTTTCCCATTCCTTCTCAACATCTGGTTGTCCCAACTATAGTGTTTGACCTTGGAAGTGTCACCCGAGAGTAGCTGTTGAATGATTTCCTATACCTTAGGATCTGATTGCCATGATTGTTGTATCTCAGACAGCATATCAGTGGTAATACCATGGAGAGACCAAGAAGTGACTGGCTCATGAGGCTACCTGGATAAAGCATCAGCAGTGACATTTTCAGTACCCTTTTTGAACTGCACTTCATAATCATACCCCATCAACTTTGACAACCACTTTTGCTGACTTAGTGTTGAGATTTTTTGATCCATCAAATATTTAAGGCTCTGATGATCAGTTTTGATGACAAAATGCCCTCCTAATAGATATGGTCTCCATTTCTGCACTGCATTAACGGTGGCCAACATTTCCTTTTCATAAACTGACAAGTCTTGATGCTTAGGTACTAAAGCTTTGCTGAAAAATGCTAGTGGTTTCCCCCGTTGTAGCAGAACAGCTCTAATGCCAAAGTTGGAAGCATTAGTTTCTACCACAAGCTCCTGAGAAAAATCTGGTAAAGTTAATACAGGGGAAGAGGTCATAGCAATTTTCAAATGATCAAATGCTGTGGTTGCTCCATCATGCCATACAAAGGCATTCTTCTTAAGTAGATCAGTCAAAGGTGTGAGGACTCGTAAAAAAAAAAAACTATTATTTTATGCCTAATTTATGGCTTAATAAATTATTTAATTGGATTTTTGCCACGAGGAATATTTTCTAGTCTTATTAGACCTAAATACATGGTAATATAACTTCGTTATATTTTTAAAGTGACTCGTTCTAAAAATTAATTTCCTGGAGTACGTTTAGTAAAAATAGTGAATAGTACTTGGAGATTTTATCCGCGTAGTAACACATTAAGCTTGGAATATTGGAGACTTGTACTATGGTCCTAAAATAGGTAATCTTATGAGTAAATACTCAAGTGATAGTTAGTAGTGCAATCGTTATAAGAATTTATTGGAAGTTTCGCGTTATCGCGTTAAAATTGACGGTACGCGTTTTCACACGCGCGACTTTATTTGAGGGACTTTAGACCCTTAATTCGGGACAATTAAGAGTGAATAATACTTACATGAATATAAATGTATTGGAGGTTCAGTGCACTAGTGAACCAAACGCGCGAGAAAATCGAACCTAATCGCGCCAAACACACCCTAATAAGAGTTGACTTTGGAGTGATTGTGCACCACCCATTTAATCTTCTCTTGGAAGCTAAATTTTGATCACACTTCACTCCTTCTTCCTCCCAAGACAGCCGGCCAACATCTCTCTCTCTCTCACACTCTTGCTTCACAAATTTCTTCACTAAATCAACCCAAAACCTCAACCAATCTTCACCAAACTTGAGGATCATCTAGCATACTACTTGGAGGTTGGATTTAGCTAGAAAAAAGGACTGCATTTTCACGGTTTCTTGGAGCTCTAGAGGGCCGAAAATTTCTGGGTTAAGGCACTAAGGAGGTATAACTTCATCTTGCACTTTAAACTTGGATTATGATGGTAGAAATGCATCTTTAAGCTATTGCATGTGGTTGGGTGGCTTGGTATGGTTGTAAAATGTTCTAGTGGGCTCTTTGTATTCCCACACTTGGGTTGTTGTTGCTGATTTG